CTGAATATAAAACCCGGTATGATAGAGTAGGCCAATATCTGCACTGGAAAACGGGAAGGAAACTAACGAACAAGCTGGTATGAACACCACCCAAACCCGGATACAGTGATAGGACCTGTAATAATTTTATGAGACTTTACAATACACACAACCGGAACAATCAAAATCAATCGCCCAGACTTCGTGATCAAAGACCACAAGAACGGAATGTTTTTACTTATTGAAATGACAGTCACTGCAGATTGTAATATATCTCTGAAGAACTTCAAAAAAGTATCAAAAACATACAAAGATCATGAAATGGAAATTTTAAAATGTAGCACATGAGGTAATAGGTATTTCCAGTAGTTGTTGGAGCTCTCGGATCGATTGGAAAAGTTTCTGATAGATTCATTGGTGGGATTCCTAGTAGCCAATGCCTTAGATAAATACAAAAAATTGCACACCCGAGTACAGCCAACACAATGCGAAGAGCTTTATGTTTGGAAAACGTGTGTGAAAATAGTTTTTTTTTGTTTGTTTTTACAAAAATGATCAGAGGAAAATTTAATGAAGCCATTTCTGAGCTTAGGTCACTTGTTAGGATCCGGGATGGAATGTGTATACAACAGAAATCAAAGGAAATTATAATAATTAAATTATAGACATGTTACCTATAAAATATACGGAAAATTATATAATTCAATATATATTAAGGCAAATCTCCCAATACAATGCTAAATATAGATCTCAAGCAATAAATATTGTATGAGAAGTAAATACAGTTTACAGTACTTAATAGGAGTAGATAGGCTCATCTATCGCCCGGTTCGCACTCCTTCCCGATCTTTTGTACAGGAATAGAGGTTTATCCCTTGTTTACTGTTTAGGATTGTGCTTCCCGTTCCTTCTAAAATCTAATTCAACTGAGTTTTCGGTTCCTTTAAAATTTTAATTCAGTTCTATAATTCTAACATCTATACTCTGAAATTTATACTATGACTGTGTTTCCGGTTACTTTAAAATTCTTATTCTTGATCTTTCACTTCCGGTTGCGCCCGTTCATATTAGTGGTTTTATAGCCTTGCTTGGGGTGAACTGATTAAAAAGAAAACTAAAAGTCGACTCAGAGTTTCGTGAATTTACACTCATCAGGAACCAGGTAAAAATTAATTATATCAATTATTAGAGAATATTCTGTAGAAATTTATCTTTCTGGGAGTTGACAACAGTCTTTGACTGTTGATTATAACGGGGACTTCTCACTCAATTTTTTTTTTTATTATATACTGAAGAATTTTCACCTGTTGCAGATTGTACTGTAGGATTATTTATTATTATAATTTTAACAGTAACTTGATCGATTCCCGAGCCTTTATACTTGGTGAACTTTAGTATTAGAAACAAAAAGCAAGTACCTAAGAAGTATTAGGCAAACTTGATATCGCCAGACTTATTCAACATATAAAGCGAAGTGATCCTGAATAAATTACACGTACCTCTAGGATTCATCAGTGACAGTTATGGTCTTAACAACATTTTTTGATGTCAACGAATACTCGTTGTCACTTTCGTAATGCTCGTTGTAGTAGAGACTTTGTAATCGCAGATACAGCTATAGTAACGCCGTTGAACAATGCTGGTGTCAGACGCCTTCGAATATCACTCGCACTAATAGTACTTGCTCGATAACACTCGCTCGAATAGTAATCCAAATAGAGAAATAGTACAGTAAATAAAGTAGAGAATAGCGGTTCATATAGTAATAGAGGATAGACTAGAAATGAGGATCCGAATAGTAATAGATGATAGAATAGAAATGCTATCATTTAGACGTCACACAACTTATGTGTTTGCTTTATGGTCACGTGGTCTACTTAATTCAATAACGGGATCGCCTGGGTTTGTCCATTGACGATCTATGTTCAAACTCAAGTGTCGGCAGCGACACTTTATTCCTATATAACATAACATTAGATATGCAGATGACACAGTGTTGATAGCAAACACAGTAAGTTACCTATTAGACCTTCTACAGAAGGTAGTAAAGGAAAGCGAGAAGAAAGGACTAAACAGCAGGTGTAAGAACTCAGAATGTATGGTTGTCGGTAAAAGAAGTACCCAACTTGCGAATTACAGATTGGGGATACCAAAATCAAGTAAGTATAAAAATTCAAATATCTGGGAAGGTTTTTAGACGGAAGAAGGAAAGTGCTACACCGAAATCGGAAGGCGCAATAGGATAGCGAAAAATGTCTTCCAAAAGCTATGCAAAATATTACGAAACAGGAAAGTCTCGTTAGAAACTAAGAAAATAATACTTAATCGTTATGTATTGCCATAATTCCCCATGTATAATACGCCTTCATCCATAATAGGCACCCCAAAATTTATACTGAAAGTGTAGGAAAATAGTTCTACTCACGCATAATACGCACCCCTTGTTTGGTAATCAAAGCCTATACCTCTCCAATTTTATTACAACCAGCGTTTCCTACTCTTATTAAAAATGGTTTTTAACACAGAATAATATTATTCTAATTTAGTGTTTTGATAATTCTTATTTTATTCTACATTTGTAAGTATTGTTAGGTACATATAATCCGGTACCTCGGCGTGGTGCAACGGTTAACAAGCTTGTTTCACTAGATCAGTTATGACTGAAAAGTGAGTTCGATCCTCACTAAGTTCTCCATACTTTCAGCCTTGTGCCACATCTAAGCTACGCTTGGCAAATAACCATATAATTGTATTTGACATTCTTATGGCGTCGCAATCGCCGAATTTTAGTGTGAAATTGGCGTATGTTTGTGTTAATTAGTGATTTTCTAACTGAAATCGGCCTATGAAACGGGAGCTAAGCATAATACTCACCCTTAAAATGCGTATTATACATGGAGAATTACGGTATTGTTTTTCCTATTTGGCAATGAATTTTAGACAATCAACTCACAGATGAAGAAGAGACTTGAAGCAGCAGAAATGTTGTTCTACAGAAGAATGCTGAGCATACCATGAACTGAGCATGCGAGCACTGACAGAGTTTTAAAGAAAATGCAAAGAGTAACACTCTTATACAGAAAGATACATTTGAAAATTATTGGGCACATAATGAGGAAAGATGGCTTGGAAAATTTAACACGCACGGGACAGACTGAAATCAAGAGGTACAAAGAAAAGCAATGTTAGCTAGCGAGCTTGTGTAACTGGTTATTAGAACAGTTATTAGCAAAAATATCGAAAAGACAAAATTTGCTAAGAGATACAACAGACAGGAAGTTGTGGAGAGGCATGATTGGACACGGCATGAAGAAGAAGATAGTGAAAGTTTTCAATGCACCCTTACTTCTGATAAGGCATTCTTCATCAGGTATCAAATCCATTTCATTATTGATGAAGCGTCAATGACTTGAGTGCGCTCTTTTAGCGTATCGAACTTAGCGTAAAAGAAAAAAAAATTAAATATTTACGAGCCTTTCTTATTAGTTAATCAATTATAGATTACAGGCACATATTTTTTTCGAGTTCACATTGATCTTTTAAAAGCAATATTTTGATAAAAAAATAATTAAAAGGAAAAGTTATTTACTGCCGCCGACAGGGTTACGGAGATAACACCCCAAAATATAACAGTGGATGTGTACGCGAATTCATGGCGGGCCACAATTGTTAGCGTTCCTATGTAAACTAAAAATATCAATTTACGGTTAACTTTTTTTTAAAAGTTTAATTTGGGGAAAATTTTTCTTCAGCAATAAATAAATAGCTTTCTATATTTATTTGATTAAATTTCTGTGTTTTTCTCCTCAATATTTTTGATTTCTTTTCCTTATCCATTGCAGTCATCTTTCCGATGTCAGGTAAAGAAAATCGATTTATTTAGTGCATTCTTTGTGTGCCTGATTTCACGATGTAAAGGGAAAGAGGAGAAATTTCGCGTTAGATTCTTTGACTAATAATAGAAAATTGTGTTTGAAATTTAAAATAATGGCTTCAGGAAAATTGTCTGTGTTTCACCTGTAATTAAATGAGGGAGTTTTTCGCAAATGTAAGGAAAAAGCTTTTTTTTTTTTTTTTTTTTTTTTTTTCAAATAAGGTAAAAGAATATTTATGAAAACAAAAAAAATTATAAGATAAAGAATGAAAAGAAAAAAAATGGGACGAAGAAAAAAGAAAGAAAGAAAACAGAAAGAACTATTAGGAAAAAAGAAAGAAAGAAAAAGGAAATAGAAAGCTTGAAAGAAAGAAAGAAAAAAAAGAAAAGAAAGAAAGAAAGAATGATGAGATGAAGAAAGAAAGAAAGAAAAAAGATGAAAGAAAGAAAAAAAAAAGAAAGAAAGAAAGAAAGAAAAGAAAGAAAGAAAAAAATGGGATGAAGAAAGAAAGAATGATTAGATGAAGAAAGAAAGAAAGAAAGATGAAAGAAAGAATAAAGAAAGAAAAGAAAGAAAATAAAGAAATAAAAATGTGGGGAAGAAAGAAAGAAACAATAATGAGATGAAGAAAGAAAGAAAAAAAGAAAGAAATCTGCTTTAATTTAAAGCATAAGAAAGAGAAATAAACGTAGGAATAAAAAAAAAGATAAGACAGATAGTAAAGATGGAAGGCGAGAGGAAAGATTTACATCAGAAAAAAGATATAAATAATGGCGTGGAATTAGAAATACATAAAAACGAACAAAATAAGACAAGGAAATTCAATTAAAATACCCCAGTAAGGAAAAAAGAAAAGAAAAAGATAAAAAGACATGACATAAAGAAAGAAAGAAAGAAAGAAAGAAAGAACAGGAATGTGAAAGAAAAAATGAGGTTATTTCTAATGATTTAGAAAATGGTAATAATGACATGAGAAACAATCCAGAAAGAATCTAAAAAAAAAAAATTGAAAATTGGAAAATTCGAATTTCCTAAAATTAGATCGGAATATTTTATTTTTCTATAAGAACTGAAAAATAAAAATATTGCACTGATTGATTAAAAAAAAAAAAAAAACTGTCAAGGTTGGCTATGGGAGTAACAGCTATGTACTCTGACTGCCTAAGTAAGTAATTTCCTTAAAATTTCTTTCTTGTCCTTTTTCAGATCACCTTTGTTCTTTTTTCGCTTCTTTCTTTCTTTCTTTCTTTCTTTCTTTCTTTCCTTCTTTTGATTTTGTTTCATCCTTCCTTCCTTTTTCTTTCTTTCTTTCTTTCTTTCTTTCTTTCTTTCTTGTTTATTTTCTTTTAACTTTCTTTCATGTGTTTTCCTTCTATTCTGATGCTGAGAATACCATGGTTGGAAGATGTGAGCAACAAGGAAGTTCTTTTTTTTAAAATGAGAAATAAAAGGGCGCTCATACATTAAAACAAACATTCGGCAGTTGAAATTTCTAGGACACATAATGAGGAAAGAGAGCTTGAAGAAACTGACACACACGTGGCATATTACTGCAGTCATCAAGGTTACGGCGATAACATGCATGTATATCAGCGGTTGCTGACGTGAATTAGTGGCGGGTAACATTTGTCAGCGTTTCTATGTCAATTTATCAGATCGTGCAAGCTCGGCATTCCATTAGACAATGCTTCCATTACCGTAGTTCATTGCATTTGGAAGCTTGTCCAGTCTGTATCCCGTGTCTTCAGTCAGATGGTCAACGTGCATCTTCTTTGGTCGGCCTTGTGTTCTTTTTTCCACGGGATGATATCAGAATAGAACGTCTCAACCGGATGAATAGAACGTCTCCAACAACCTCGACATTCCACGAGACGCTGCTTCCATCCATTCCCGTCGTTCATTGCATTTGGAAGCTTGTCCAGTCTGTATCCCGTGTCTTCAGTCAGATGGTCAACGTGCATCTTCTTTGGTCGGCCTTGTGTTGTTTTTCGACGGGATGATATCCAGAATAGAATGTCCCCAACAACCTCGACAGTCCACGAGACGCTGCTTCCATCCATTCCCGTCGTTCATTGCATTTGCAAGCTTGTCCAGTCTGTATCCCGTGTCTTCAGTCAGATGGTCAACGTGCATCTTCTTTGGTCGGCCTTGTGTTCTTTTTCCACGGGATGATATCCAGAATAGAACGTCTCCAACAACCTCGACATTCCACGAGACGCTGCTTCCATCCATTCCCGTCGTTCATTGCATTTGGAAGCTTGTCCAGTCTGTATCCCGTGTCTTCAGTCAGATGGTCAACGTGCATCTTCTTTGGTCGGCCTTGTGTTGTTTTTCCACGGGATGATATCCAGAATAGAACGTCTCCAACAACCTCGACATTCCACGAGACGCTGCTTCCATCCATTCCCGTCGCTCATTGCACTTGGAAGCTTGTCCAGTCTGTATCCCGTGTCTTCAGTCAGATGGTCAACGTGCATCTTCTTTGGTCGGCCTTGTGTTCTTTTTCCATATATATATATACAGAGGTTGTTTGTGTGTCTGTCTGTGTGTCTGTCTGTGCGATACCTTTTCACTTGAGATCCATTCAACCGATTTTGACCAAACTTTGCATATACATTGTACAATGTAAGAGCTAGATGCTTGGCGTAAAATCGATAATTTTTAAAAAATCATTAATCGATAAAGTCGATCAAAAATCGATAAATTCAAGTTTTTTTTGATCCGATTTCGTTCAAATTATATATATATATATATATCATGATAAGCTCAATAAATTCATCTGTTTTATTTCAACCGTTAAATTTCATGACATTAAAATCAAAACGATGTTCATTTTATTTCTTCACCACAAGCGTTTAGCGAAAATCTGCGCAAAACGAAAAATTGATTTCAACACAAATTTTAAACCAAAAATCTCTCTAAACTTCCAAGCAATCTAATACAAACTTCACTCAATTATAGCCAACAATAAGTTGATTGTTTAACAGTCATTTAACTTGATAATTTTGTCCACCCATATAGTGAATACCCGCGTAAATAGCGAAAAAAGGCATTTTTTCTACTGGTTTCTTTCTTATTTTTCGTTGATCTTTCAACCAATTAACAATTGCTTTTAAATTTATCCTCTTTTACATCTCTGGTAGCACACTGACAAATTGGATTTCAAAACCCCCCAAAATAATTGTGGTCTGAAGTGGGTCGTCATGTTGCCCCTTTTACCCCTTCATGTCCTCGGCTAACTTCGACTGAATAAATACAGACTACTTCTGTTATATAAGTATCTGCATTAATTCAAAATGTTTTTGATGAAAATACTTTAAAGTAATTGAAAAAGATAGGCTCTGTTACATCTAAACATGATGCTGTTTTTGCTCAATTCTAATTGAACCCTTTTTCTGATCGACCAGCTGTCTATGGCTGCTAATAATAAATAAATATGTTTCTATATTTATTTGATTAATTTTTTTGTATCTTCCCACCGTTATTTTCAAAATTTTAATTTTTTTCTCATCCATTACGTTCATCCATTTCAGGTAAGAGGTACAGAGGGAAACAGTGAGTAACCTATGCAAAGGGCTTTTACGAATGGTTGGCATAGTGGTAAAGAGTAAAAAAGTTGTTTAGAAATTACAACGGATCGTGAAAGGTGCCTTCCAAATAATAAGTTGCCGAGAGAAATAACCGTCCTTGCTGCAAAATGACAGGGGACATAAAAATATCAAGTTATTCTACGCATTGAAATGACAGTTGGTTAAGGAAGAAAAGAAATACAAGATTCCCCGGTTATCCGAAACTTGTGTTCAGATGAAATGTTTCGTGTACGAAAATGGCTTAAAGCGAAGAAACAATTAGCATTAATTTATATGGGAAATTTTTTTTTCTTTTTTTTTAAGTGTACCCGGATATAATGAAGGGTGCAGTAGAAATATATCCCACTTTTGAAACATATCACTTGTGTGGTGATAGTGAACTTAGGCATATTGCAATGGTCGCTTCATCTACCTAATTTCTTACTAGTTTTACAGATATCATCAGTTAAACATCATGGCTTGGACCGGTGCACCCTTTAACTCATTTTTCGTTCTTTCTTTCATTAATTCGTTCTTCCTTTTTTTCTTTCTTTCTTTCTTTCATTAATTCTTTCTTTTTATCTTTCTACTGTTAAATTTCTCCTTTACTTATTTTCCCATATTTTCCACCTTAATTCATTTTCTTTCTTTCTTTCTTTCTTTCTTTCTTTCTTTCTTTCTTTCTTTCTTTCTTTCTTTTCTCTCCTGCTAAATTTCTCCTCTACTTATTTTTGCCCATTTTCCCATTTTAACTCTTTTTATCTTTTTCTTTTCTTTTTCTTTCTTCATTTTTATCTCTAATGCTAAATTTCTCCTTCATTTAATTTTCCCCTATTTTTCCTTTTTTAACTCATTTTTTTCTGTCTTTCTTTCTACCTTTCTTTCTGTCTTTCTTTCTACCTTTCTTTCTTTCTTTCTTTCTTTCTCCTTTAACCCCGTTCCTAGGCATCTGTCATGAAATATTTTTTATTTGTATATTTTTTCTGTTTAAGCATCATTTTTTCTTTCTATCGTAAAAACCAAACTTTTCTATTTAAATCCTTCTGTTTTATATAAGCTCAGTTTGTTTTCTTTCTTTCTTTCTTTCTTTCTTTCTTTCTTTCATTCTTTCTTTCTTTTCTTTCTTTCTTTCATTCTTTCTTTCTTTCTTTCTCTCTTTCTTATATCTAATGTTAAATTTCTCACCCACTTATTTTTGCCGACTTTTCCCGTCTTAACTCATTTTTTCTTTCATTCATTCATTGATTCTTTCAATCTTTTTTTGTTTCTTTGTTTGTTTCTTTGTTTCTTTTTTTTTCTTATCTCTACTGCTAAATTTCTCCTCTACTTGTTTTGTCCATTTTCCCACCTTAACTCTTTCTTTCTTTCTTTCTTTCTTTCTTTCTTTCTTTCTTTCTTTCTTTCTTTCTTTCTTCCTTCCTTTCTTTCTTCCTTCCTTTCTTTCTTTCTTTCTTTCTTTCTTTCTTTCTTTCTTTCTTTCTTTCCTTCCCACATTTCTCTTCAGCTCATTCAGCCTTTCTGCATTTTCCATTAACTCCTCATTCCTAATTCTCTCTTTCCGTCAAAACTCAGCCAAAACTTCCTTCACCCCAGCAAAACTGACAAATAATAGCAATTAGCGCAACAGTAAATATATATATATATATATATATATATATATATATATATATATATATATATATATATATATATATATATATATATATATATATATATATATATATATATATATATATATACATACATATATATATATATATATATATATATATATATATATATATATATATATATATATATATATATATATATATATATATATATATATATATATATATATATATATATATATATATATATATATATATATATATATATATATATATATATATATATATATATATATATGTACACGCACACACATATATATATATATATATATATATATATATATGCACATATATATATATTGTAATGTTTACATATATATATATTTATATATTATATATATTTATATATATATATATATATATATAATTGTTATATATTGTAATGTTTACATAGATATATATTTATATATTGCAATGTTATATATATATATATATATATATATATATATATATATATTGCAATGTTATTATATATATATATATATATATATATATATATATGTATGTATGTATGTATGTATGTATTACAATCTTTCCATTGACATTGTAAGATAAGCACACATCAAGATTTCCACCACGAAAACAAGCGAATTAAATATTAAAACGAAGCGGAGGTCAGAATGAATCGTGAATGATATCTCCCCCCGCCACACATACAACATACACACACCCAAAATAAAAATAAAAAAATAAATAAAAAAGACCGGAAAATGTAATTTATTTTATTCATAATGTCAAAAATATTTTTTTCTTAAAACAAATATAATCTACACAGTTATTGTTATTTTAAAGAAATTCCAGATAACAATGTCGCGACTTTTATTTAGTGTGGAATGAAGAGAAAAAAATGTAAATTGCGTAGCCACTTGAATACGAGGAAGCCAGTCTACTACGGCGGCTAGCTAATCCCCATTGCAGGCGCCTGCTCAGGTATATTTGTGTTTGTTCACAGAGCCCATCTGTTGTTTATACTACAGCTATGTTGAATATAAATAGTTTGTGCATGAAAGAGCTCGTTAGCTCGCGTGATCAACAGTTTGAACAAGACCATCACGCTCAAAGCCTCGGTCACAATGACTTGTGACTTCGTGCAAGCTCAACCACGGATGGCTTCCAAGGGTTGTGTTTACACAATTTCACTCTAAAGGTTTGGTTCTGTTATAGCACAGTTATTCTATAGTTAATAGACTCTCCCACCTATAATAAGTAGTAGTAGTAGTAGTAAGAGTAACACGAGAGGGCTCATTGGGTCGGTCTGAGTTCAGTCTGAAGTCGGACGACCGGCTGAACGGTTGAACTCTCTGCCTTCGGGCAGGGAGGAACCCGAACGAGGCTACGCCGAAGGGCGGAGTCTCTTTCGAGGAAGTAAACCGACCCTGAACCCGTTTATACGGGTTCAAAGGGCATATTTTTGGCCGAGCCCACGGGCTCGGAGATCTCACGTTAAACCGGCTTTGTGGCACATGATGCCCTCGTGGGCGGTGGGGGGTGACTGAATACCGCTCAGTGGGTCGGTCTGAGTTCAGTCTGAAGTCGGACGACTGGCTGACCGGTTGAACTCTCTGCCTTTGGGCGGGGAGGAACCCGAACGAGGCTACGCCGAAGGTCGGAGTCTCTTTCGGGGAGGTAAACCGACCCTGTACCCGTTTATACGTGTTTGAAAAGGGCATATTTTTGGCCGAGCCTACAGGCTCGGAGTTCCCACGTCAAACCGGCCTTGTGCCACATGATGCCATCGTGGGGAGTGGGTGAGTGAATATCGCTCAGTGGGTCGGTCAGTCAGTCAGTCGATGCCGGACGACCGTTAGTCGGATACTAAAGTATCAGCGACTACAACTAGATTTCTCTGCGTCATTACCTATTATATCAAGTTCCTAACGTTTTGTACGTCGAACCTATTTTAGGACCGACTTAGTACAAATACAAGCCTCCACTGTGAAACCACTCCATAACAGGTACAAATATGCCTTCCCAAATGTTCCGTACCCTGGGATCGCCTCCTCCTGACCGAGAAAAATAAAAAATAAAGTGACCTTCCTGCCAAATCGAATCCGGGTCCTATGATCAAAAAGCGAACGTTCCAACCGCTCTGTTATGTGTTCATATGAAAGGAATGTTACAGTTTTTTGTGTATATGTATATATAACTAGTGAGTTAGCCCAGATGACTTGACTCACTTTATAGTCCAACAATAGAAGGTTAACCAATCAGAAGACGTAGAATATTCAATCCGCCGTATATAAAGGCGGCCATTTTTGTCTACTCTACCCGAATGTCCAGTCCAGCTTATCAGGCGAAGAGAAACAGAAGGACGAACTACGCTCTGCTACTTTTTACCAAAATATCCACTGCTAACCTGAACAACGCTTTCCTACTGTCTTCGAAATATTCACTGCTAACCTCTGGATTCTATACTCGAAGACGACCGTCATGATGAATAACAAGTTAGAACGGGGACATTCAAATAACGCAAACACAGAAAATATTTTAAACATGAACTTCTCTCAGTTTTTAAAAATCGTGCACAATACGCACAGCGACCAGAAATAATAATAATAATAATAATAATAATAATAATAATAATAATAAACATTTATCATTCTAGATCATGAATATCAAATAATGGATTATTTTGTTATATTAAATTTTATGAAGGTTATTAGGTTACTAATTACTGTTTGCTTTGTAAATTCATTGTAAATTGATCTACTTCCGGTAGCCCCGCCCATCGCCTCCATCAAAAATGCTCTGAGTACGTGATTTCTTAAGATGTAAAAAGTATGTATTTTTTTAAAATTAAATATAATTTGGAGATTTTATTTCATATATTACTATCTATTAAGACCTCCCAGTTATCATTATTCTATATACAGAGTACCTTCAAGACGTTACTGATCATTGCTCTCCACAGCTTCCTGTTCTTTGTAGCTCGTAGTTAATTTTGTCTTTTCGCTCCTAAACACTCTTTTGCCAACCATTTACACAAGTAGCTACAGCTTCTTCTTTTCTTCTTCTTTGTCCTTCAGAACGTGCCCAATCATGACTCTCCACAATTTTTTGGTAGCGCTTCATAAATTTTGTCTTTTCGCTAACTCTCCTGGATTAGGAGAGATAGTGTCAACCATTTAAACAAACTCCTTCTTCTTCTTCTTCTTCTTCTTCTTCTTCTTCTTCTTCTTCTTCTTCTTCTTCTATGTGATGTCTCCCTTTAGGGCGTGGGCATTTATGTGTCTCCCTAATTTTGTCTTTTCCCAATCACTCCTAATCATTGGTCCTGGTCTATCAGCTGATCTTCAGTCACTTTCCCACTGCCTTAAAGTAGCTTCCTTGTGTCTTTTCTATAAATATTTTCAAGGCAATTGTTTTGATGAACTTTTCCCTATGGCTCTGTGAATTTAAGCGCAAATACAGATGCAGCACTGAAATTCGTAAACGCATTGCTATTGCTAGCTAAAAATGCATTCCAAAAGTTAACCCGTCCTGGGATTGACGATAAACAACATCCGACAGCAAGTCCTCTGATCAGGAGGTTTTGAGAGACGTGGAACCACCAATTAATTGCTGGTGATCCCAGGTCCACCCTGATCCAGGATGTAGCACCTGTCAGGGTCCCATCTATAGGCAAATAGTTAACCCCCACCAAAAGGGGTCAAAACAGTATAAAATAGTTTATAATACCAGCAGTACATTTTGGAAAAAATATTATCAGCAATATATTTGGGGGAAAAAAAGATATTACCAGCAATACATTTTTGAACAAGAATATTACCAGCAATAAAAATCTCGTCGGCATTAAATTACCCATTGAGGTTGATATGCCGTATAAAAAAAACAAAAAAAACAAAAAAACAAAAACAAACCAAACCAAAAGCTAAGCAGAATATTAGGCAATAGAAAATCTTCGTTAGAAACAAAGAAAAGATTACTGAACTGTTACGTGATATCTGTTCTATTATAACAGTGTTCTGTTATGACAATGAAGGTTGGAGAATTTCGTCACAGACGAAGAAGAGACTTGAAGCAACGGAAATGTGATTCTACAGAAGGTAGCTAAGGTTAACATGGACCGAACATGTGATCAACGACGAAGTTTTAGAGAAAATGGAAACAGAAAGGAACCTTATACGTAACATCAGGAAGAGAGAATTAACATTTCTGGGGTATTTAATGAGGAAGGAGGGCTTAGAAAATCTGACACTCACAGGACAGATTAAAAGCAAGAGGGATAGAGGAAAACAACGCATAACATAAATGACGTGCTTGAGAAAATATGTGGCAGAACAGAGTTTAAAAATAACAAAAAAATATTTAAAGCTGGAAGGGACAGGAGATTGTGGAGATCTGTGATCGCCAACGTCATGAAGGAACATGGTTCATAAAGAGAGAGACTAGACTGATAGCAAGATCTCATCATTTTAAATGGCTAGATGTAACCGTAAGTTCTATGCTAACAGACCTTCTTAGTCCGGTTGTCAGGGATTAATTTGTACGTCACTATTAAAGTCCGATGTTTATTGTAGTTTTCTACTACTTTTGACGTTCAGTCTATCTAGTCCTTCGTAAACATTTATTAATTTCTGACTTGTGCGTATACCACTGAGTAAATAATATAAAATAAAAATAAAAAAACGATCGTAGACGAAAAACGTTAAAAAGTTCCTCCTTATCTCCGGTTGATCCCCAAAATAATTCGCAAATTTTGAGGTAATAATGATTGCAAAATGTAAGGACAAAAATACAGGTAATTTTATATATGATTACAAGAAACCTTAATGTATTTCTTTTTAGTTAATATATAACGCACTCGAATTAATAATCCAAAGATAAATCTATGAATATGTTGACGTTGCTAAGCTCTACAATA